CACTACTTGCGAATCAGATATAAGTCTTTGTGGTTTCCATACAAAAATATCTCTTAAATTAGGACCGATTTTATTTTATATTGCAAGTCTGACTATCTTCTCGAACCTTACTAATGCGAGTAGACTTTCTTGCTTTATTCTTAGTATTAATGTGCTGGTAATAGGTCAAGGAAAGGGATAATATTTTCTTATATGTGGAACCAAATTTTTTCTCTTTTTGATGTAAAATGTATATAGCCATATGCTTTTTTCCCATTTCCTAAACAAGTAGTAAAGTTACGTTCAGCTGGGGCGGTATATTTTCTTTATCCACCTCCATTCATTTTATTGTACCATTACCAATCCCAACACGAATACTGATCTAGTAATAATAACTTTCCATATCAATTTTATCTTAATGCAGCTGTATAAGTGGGATAAAAGTGGCAAATTATCATTACTAGATCGCTAGTAAGAATGTTTAGGTAAATTATTAATAGGTTTTATCTAGAATAAAACCGACTTTTAAATACCCTGCACCCCGATGTTTAACACAACTGTTATTTTTGCCATAAAACACAAATATCATACTCTACCTGTATATGAACTTATTATGAAACTATATATTAAAAATTAAACCTTATTGCAAGCAAAGGCATACTTTCGAGAATGGTTGTCTTCAAGAGATTCAAAAATTGTGGTATTTAGTCAAAATTTAATATTATATTAAACTGCTATTATGAATCAATTTCCATCGTAAAATATTAAAACTTAAACCTCTCTGGTATAAAAAAAAAAATTTTAGCATAAATCCTTATATCCGGTAGAATCGAAAAATTACCATTATGGGTCAACTTTCATCATAACGAATAAAAAATATATAGTTTTCGGCTCTAAAACAGAAAAATGTTCGTAGAAATCCTCATATAGGATAGTACCCAAAAATAGGCATGAATGGATTAACTGACTGACTGATGACTGAATTTTTTATGTTAAATTACTATTATGAGTTAAGTTTCATTATATTAAAATTTAGACTTTTCTATTCTAGAAAGTATCAAATTTTCGCCACCACATATTAAAACTTAAACTTTTCTGCTCTACAAGGATCAATATTCGCGAAAATCCTTATTGTGGTAGCATCTAAAAAATAGGCCGAAATGGTTCAAATTTGCTGTAGTTATTTTTTTTTTATGTTAAATTACTATTGTGATCATGAAGCATTGAAAATGATACCCCTTCGTTATATGAGGGGCGGGGGGGTTAAAAAAATTCCCCAGCCAGTCCAAAGTTTTCATACCAATTTAGAGTGCCAAGATACTACTATTTAGCCAATTTCGCCGAGAAGTTTTGAAAATTGCAATTTTTCGAATTTTTCCAAAAAGGTGGATCGATCCGAACCATTTTCAATAGCGTTCCTGCTTAGGCCAAAGCACGTCAGTGCAACAAATTTCATCATTTTTACTGGATTATTACCAAAATGAGTGAATAACTGAACTAGGCCAAGTGGTATAGGGTACGTAATCGATGACGTCGCCCGACTATAATCTTCTTACTTGTTTTTTACCTGTAGAAATCACTGACTAAAATTAACGCAAGCACCTGTTTGTTTCATAACATTTGTTATTAATCGGTTATGATACTTCAAATTTCTTCTCAAATGCTATTTTAGGTGAGTTGATTCAATTTACAAAAGAGAGAAAGTCACTGCCGTAAAAACGCGTGACATCAAATGAGAGTCAGAAAAACTTTTGGTTAATTTTGTACCAATCATTCTTAGGTGATGGGTATATTTATTTTGTCAAAACGTTTGCAAAGCCCAGAAGGAAGCATCAGAGACGTCACAAAGTAGACATATTCTTGATCAGCATAAGTCGATGTAAGCATGTTCGTTCGTTCGTTCGTTCGTTCGTTCGTCTATCCGTCTGTGTAACGTCTGTTGTAAAAATTCTCCTGATCGCAAAAATGAAGCTGAAGAATGAATGATTTCAAATTATATGGAAAAATTGGAAGTTATTGCGCGCAGGTTAATATTGAAAATGGGCTTAATCGGTGCAAGGACACGCTCACGACACCACGTCTATTTTTCAAAACAAATAAAAATGTCCTGCTCATAATTACTCATAAACTATAACCGATAAATGTACGAGAATATGAACGCACATTCTGTGGGCGATGTTGCCAGTATCTGTAGAGAAATGGGACCACGCCTATATACATCAGATATTACAGTGTATAAAAATTGAATTTTTTTTATCAATAGCTTTACAAAGCGGAAGAACAACCACAAAAACCACACAAAGTATACAAGTTCCTGGCCATTGTCATAATCATGTCTGTCTGTTCGGATGTTCATCTGTCTGTCTGTGCAATCGTGTAGTATTTGTAGTAAACATTTTCCCATTAGCGAAAATGAACTTTACCATGAATATGTCTGTAACGCCCACACGCCTATGCGATAAAACCTTTTATTTTGAAAATAAAAAAAAACAGCCGCGCCCACTTCACATTATTAAAAATGAAAATTTAATTTTTTTAGTTTTTTCCTCTCTTTCGGGTGAAGGGTGTAAAAGATTCGGCTAGGACCGAATATAATTGTCTTAATGTCGGATAGTTTAGAGATATATTTAACAAAATTGAAATTTTATGCTGACTTTGATATCTGCCTGAATTATCCACTTTCTGTTCGCCTTTAATGTTATAGCTACATTTTCTTATAATTTTTTTTTTCTTTTTTTATGTAAAGGAAATACCTGATAAGTGAAGAATTTCCCTTAAAAATACTGAAAATTTTATTGCTAAACGACAAAAGGGTTTTCTTGGAATTTTTGCCTTTAAATATTTGGTTTTATATAAGAGATCATATAACATAGAATATAAGAGGCAGTCTCGCAAGTATACTGACAAAGACTAAACGGTTCTGGCAATTTTGGATTCGAGAAGAGTGATAAACCTTTCATGTTCAATAATATATAAATAATATGGAGAAAATGAACAAATCATTGTCATCACAGGATTCAAAAGTCCTGATGCCATTACTATCTCAGGAAACTATTCTAAGTTCGTCTCAAGACAGTAGTCATCCTTTAACCTTAAGTCAATTTCGGACATGGAAGAATTCACATCTGAACTCGTCATCAGTTTCGTCTCAAACGCAACTAATTTCTCCAGATTGGATGCCTGAGCCTGATTCAAATTTTTCACCCATCAATAGTCAGTTGGATATATACCTTAGTCCTCGGGATGCGATTTTCGATTCGTCAGGATGGGATACTGATGAAGTGATAGCGGCGTGTGATCGCGAAGAGCTAAAATTTTTTTTAAATGATTGTTCCGATGATGATATATTTCTAGCTATAGATTTGTAAAAAAATCGTTGAAAGAAAGAATTAATAAAAACTAATAGAATTAATAAGAAATAGTTAACTCGGTTATTATTAAGCCGTAAGGAATCGTTTTAGAATATACAGGGCAGATAACGAGTATTGCACTAACTAGGATAACATCAACACAATCACAATCTGCTCCCGGTTTTTTATTATCTCGACATTCATCTAACCACAATTAACGAAGTTATCATTGAGCTATGTAGAGCCGCTCTAGAATATTAAATATAAATGCTTGCCTAGTCCACTACGAACTACGAAGAGCAACAATGTTGTAACCGAACACTGAACAACACTGTTGATTTCATTGCAGTGAGCAACAGATCTAGTTTGTGGAGGGATACAACACATAATTTTATTGTTATTAGGGTGGATCTATCACGGGAAATTTCCTTTGTTACATTTTCGCTACTAGAGTGCTATGGCGTATTTATTTTTCATGTGAGCTAAGCCAACCCAACTTGAGTCCGCAGGACTTGCAGGTAAATCCATGCCTTGACACCTTGATTCTCAATATTATGAAAATCCCAACAAATTTAACCCCGAACATTTTCAAGCAAATGAAGACATTGGGGATAGCACTGTACAAATGAACCCAACAATAGTTGGACATAACCTCAATCCGAAATTGACCAATTAACTGCTCCTAGAGAATGTGCATTTGAAATTAACTCGACTACGCTTTGGCTCTGTCAACGAAGAAAATACCGGAAACGGGAGGGTGCTTCGGAAGCAGTTTGCAAAACTTGATACTCGATATTTTTTAGCTTCCAAAATATACCTCACTTTAACAGACATTTCACTGGCGTGGCGCGATATAAGCTTGTGTTTCAGTTCAGCAATTTATACCGCTTGTGGGACAGGCTATCCAGACGGGCTTACGGGCTTTATTTAAGCATAATTATCCGCCTGCTTCAATTATGTTCCTTCACAGATATTTGACTTCAATCTATAGACCGCAATTTTTGAAATATATTTACGATATTTGGTGCATTAATGTGCCGATTGGACCGATTTTGTCATCGCTTCTCTATAGTGCCTTATATTAAAAATGGCAGAATACGGAAAATTTGCAATTTTTTGTGGATAAAAATCATTAAGTGAAAAATTTTGATCGGATTGGAGAAAGTCTTAAGCCCCAATTTGACAGAAACGTTCAAGCAAAGCATATTTGGATCGCATAAATTATATTTGACGCCCTACTATTTGTAAGTCTCCTTTGTGTGCCAATAATATTTAATTTGCAGTATCTTCGGACTAAAATATATGAACAATAGTAGGGTCTTTAATAAGAAAGTGAAATTTTAACCACTGTAGCTTTGAACACGCTCTAATACAAGGTGTTTCACGAATAGTTTGCCTTTACGTGAAAGCAAGTTCGCCGGTGCGCTATGAAGAAAATAAGTGAATAATTGCTTTAGGGGCATATTTAATGTTCGATCTTCTGCGACAAAAATTTTTTTAATTCTTATAATATCTTAAGCTACTTTATAATATTTAAGAGAAGGTGAAAAAACTCATTTGTTTTTATTTTATTTTTATTTTAACATCTAAAACGTCTAATTGCTTGTCTATGTGTCCTTTTTTTGTATTTTTTTTTTTTTTTGTATTTATTTAAGTAAAACGATTATGCTATGGTGTTGTTTATAAAAAATTGCTAAAATTAATAAAGATATATAGTTACACATTGAAAAAGACGTAAGAGTAATTGCATGGCCCTTTAATCTCATATCGTATTTTTATAAATTTATTCTTATATATATATATATGTCTTGATTGTTTATCTTCGTCTTCGAAGCTAATTTTTCTCACTCATTGCTTTTGCTATGAAAACCAATTTTCGTACAACATTGGCATCAGTCATTTCGTACATAAGTAAATCTTGTCTAGATGTGCTAACATCACAATCCATACTTAAATTACTACTAGCGATTACGTTATTATCTGATGCTGTTACCGTTATATCATTGCAGGCAGGCGGTGCATCCGCTTTACTTTTGGCTGATGAATGAAACTCTACGCATTTTGTAGTTGTAAGAATTTCTTCCAAATTTCCTACTCTAATACCTGCTCCTGGCATGATAATGATATCACGATGATTTTTAGCTATAAGTTGAGCTATATATTCTATACCCTCATGGGCTGAAGGTTTAAAACCGCTAGTTAATATACGTTTAAAACCCAATTCAATAATTTGTCTCACGGTTTCCTGCATGCGAGTCATATCAGTTATATCAAATGCTCTGTGAAAGGTAACTGGCAAACCTTGGGCATGTTCTAATACTTGTTGGCACTGTTTTACATTGATTGATCGCGTATTAGTTAAAGAACCAAAAACAAAACCATCTGCTCCTAATAAGTAAAGAAATAAATAACTAAATAAGTATATCAATTAATTAATTAAGTGCATATACAAAACCTTGTTCGCGTAGCATATCGAGATCGGTAAGCATCGCTTGCATTTCATAATCAGTATAAATGAAATCGTCGCCTGAACGTGGTCGCAACATGCAATAAATCGGTATAGCTATAAAACCTTTCAAAGATTTCAATATACCTATTGTTGGCGTAAGTCCTCCCTCGCTAAGAGCCGAACATAATTCTAATCGGGCTGCTCCACTTTCGGCAGCGGCTATAGCTGAGGCTATAGAATCTACGCATACTTCCAATTTGATATCTTTACTGGAGGACATTAACTTTTGTTTTTTTTGCTGATTTTTACGTTTTTTGCTTAAATAGTTAAGGAACAGTTTTGTTTACAAATATCGTTTAGAGTGGGGAGTATTGCACAGAATTGCCATTTTTTGCGAAACATAATTATTCTTCGAAATCTTTGCGTTATATATAAAAAAGGAGGAAAACACAAGACGGCAACGCATGTTGATTGCCAAGCGTAGGAATTAAAGCAAAGAATTAAAATAAAGCTTCTACAAGGCTTGGTTTAAATTAGGAAATCATACGGTTGCATATGTAAGTAAAAATATATATATATATATATATAAAGAAAAAAACTAAAGAAAGATAATAAAAGTAAGGCAACTAAACGGCCTGTGGGCGTTGTGAGCGTGTCCTTGGAAAAGTTTAAGTCGGTTCTAAATTCTTCTGCAAATTTTTAGGCGATATCTCCATTTTCGCTAGAATGCTTCGGGAGAATGTTTATCGCAAGTAGACATTTGCGCAGGCAGATAAATGGAGAGAAGAGCGGACGGATATGCTTAGAAGCACTGCAACAATTTGAACTGGTCAAGAATTTATATACTTTATGATGTTTTTGAAACTTGTTTCGGGGCCTTACAAAGATATTGAAATAAAATTAGTCGTGCTTAGGCCTAGGATTCAAGATTTGAATCTCTCCACTTTTTGCAAACATTTGGAGAAAATGAATACACCTTTCATTCTAAAGAAGCTCTTTATAATTTGCCTCGCTCTTGAAAGAGGAGCATTTCACTTTCCAAGATAATGGACATAAGTTCACTTCACCAATCTATTCCGTTTTGCGCGAGAATAGAAAGAGAACAAAGGCCGCGGATCATCATTAAATACACTACACTACCCTATAACTATTCATATAATGACTTTTTAAAAGATGTTTTTATATGAGAAGTAATTGAAAAGGTGGTCCGATCAGGATCATATTTAACAACGTTCGTCACTGGGACATAAGATATCAGTGTACGAAATTTCATCAGGATATCTCAAAGATATGCGGCCTGTAGTTTAAACGCAAAAAGCAAGTTAGGCAGACGGGTAGACGGAAAGGCGGATACACAAGCTGAAATCGATCCAGAAAATGATTACGAACCGGTATAACAAAAGGCTGGTTCTCGTGGATGTTGCACATAGCCGCACATCTAAAGTTAATCTGCCTTTGTACCATAAGTAGTGTAAGATGTAACGAAATCTTGTCATGTAAGCTTCAGAGATCCTATGAAGTATATATATTCTTGATCAGCGTGAAATCCTGAGTTGATTGTCTTTTTTTGTATATGTGTGTATGTGTGCCTGTGTATATGTATCGTTAACATTTTCCTGGTCGCAAAAATGAACTTCAAATTTGGTGAAAGCATTGAAAATTTTTGCACGCAGGTTGGTATTGAAAATTGGACAGATTGGTCAGAGCACGAGCGTGTAGTGGAAAAATATGTGGGTTTTTTGTTCGTTACTTAGAAATGATAAAAGTTACAAATTTTCCACATTTACTTTACAAGACACTTTAGTCTTTAGGTCCAAAAATAAAACCAATCGGCCGCGTCCACCCAAAGTTTACGAGTTATTAAATTTAATTTTTTCACTATTTTCAGGTTTAATGCTTATTTATCATAAGGCAAACAAGACCAAATGTTTTGAGCTGTGTTGTGCACTCCTCAAATGAAAATATATTCTCTGCCTAAAAATGGGTTCATTTTAAAATGAATGTGGTAGACACCGCGATAAATGTTTTCTTAATGATACCAGTGATATGGGTATCAAATAAAAGAGCTTGGAGAGTAGAATGCGAAAAGCATAGTGGTGGGCGTGGCAAACTTTCTTACTCGTTTAATACAAAAATGAAAATGCCTTTTGATAGTTTTTGTAATAAAATTTTTATTTTCACAATACATACACAATATCTGACACTAATGTATGCATATGAAAAACATACGGAATACCTGCATACGTACATACAATATATACATGTATGAATATATATATATATATATATATATAAAAAGAAAATAATACTTAATAATAAAAAGCATTACGAAATACAATACAATGTTCCCTCAGAATGATGACATGACTTTCTATGAGTAATTAAGGCAATTTATCTTTGTTTGTCGTCTCTCTCTCTCATCACGATAAAGTTAAAATATTCAAAAATAAAATGAATAATTCGTACTTATAACACTAGAAAAAAGGCACATATGGCGTGGTAACGGGTGACTATTGCAACAGTTAATTGATAAATTTGCAGTTCATAGAGATATTCTTAATTTTTCTTAATAAATTTAAAAGAAAATAATAATAATAATAATAATAAAAACATTGAAGAAAACACTTATATCTCTCTTCGAGAAAATACTATAGAAGAAATGCACATGTGTGTTAGCATTTGATTAAGGAAATGAATGCTTAATGAGCAGTAGAGGCTTGTATGTTTTTAAAATCCTGCGTCTGTGTAGTACTGCGTAGAACTTCCAACCATCTGGAAATGTAAAAATATATTTGTATTTATATAATGATTTATTACTTGCAAATCCTTCTTACCTATTGTAAGTGTGTACGCTTTCGGCTCGAAAGAAATACACATGATTTTTAAATGATAATTTAAATACAAATTCTTTTTGTACGGCATCTTGATGACCCGGTGGTCCAACAGAGTAGCCCAGCAATGGTAGACTTGCTAACGCGAATTCATCCTGATAGCTTTTGTAAAAGTATAAGCAAAACGAGGTGAAGACTACCCACAACTTTTGCCAGCCGCTGCTATTCTTGAATTTACGCAACAAATAGCCGGATAGTTGATTTTCAGCTGATATCAGATGATCGCCTAAACCAACTGTTGCTCCACGATGCCAGCATACATGCAAAGCCGTGTTACTACGTGTCGGCGGCGTTTTGTTTTGTGCATTTTGATGTTGCTGTAACAACTGTTGGGCTGTAAGTGATGTATTGCCGTTCGCTAGGCCACATAGATCTAAGTTTTCTTCTGACGAAGCTGAAAATGTATGATGTTGAAAATTAGATCAGCATTTTTATGAGGATCAAATCCCAATGATCTTCGATCTTTTCTTAAATATTGCGAGTACAAGTTAGTTCGGTCCGCTTCGATAAGAGATATTGCAAACAATATTGTAATAAAGTTGTGGCTTCCGAGCTTGTTAGCTTATTAAGGAGGAGTTTACTAAATTACCTTATAAGATAAACGTATATTAATAGTTTAAAACAAGTAAAAATGGTATAGTGGGACCAGGTGCGTTAAGTACCCTGCGCCACCTCGTTTAATAGAGTTATTCAAAGTAAGCCTTTATATTGAAACTGGTGTAGGGTGTAAGGGGTGAGATTGAAGTGCTAAGAAAATTCGCTCTGGGCTTGCTGATGTTCTGAGAGGTTACAGCAGCAAATTAAACGATCTGGAAGGTCGTAAATTAATAAAATAGTAAAAAGTTACGTGGATAAAAATGTGAAAAGTAGTCGTGGAATGTCAAGTGTAATAAAAGCCTAAAATGTATTAAGACGAAGTATGGGCATCATTAAAGGGAATATCAAGTGAAGCCTTAAAATGGGGATTAGCCGACGGATTGAAGACCGATTACTTTTTAAATGTCATAGCGGATACCAAGGGGTAAGTTGCAATGGAACATACATGCGACGTTTTATATATTGGTGCAGTAGTGATTTACCGTGAAGTGGTACCTAATATATAAACGTAGATCTACGAGGCGAGTGAATCTTATGAAATTGGTCAGCGGTTGGAGCGCTAACGATCAGTTGAGGAACCTGATCAAAGGCGAAAGTAGAATACTTATTGGCAACACCTATTCATAAAGCACTTTTACGAATTTGACTGCTATTGTTGTCTGCTTTTAGGTTCAAAGCCTATACATTTTTTTGCTATTCTTTCAGATTTCTTTTATTATTTATTTTCAATCAAAATCATTAATATAAGTCATTTTCAACTTACTTACACGGAGCTATTCCGTTCTTTTCTTGGCAGCCACAAAACAGAATAATCATTACGATATCAATAGAAATTATTAATAGAAATATACTCACTGCAATTTTTCAAATTAGTTAACGTCAATTGGGTATGAGGTTTACTCTTAATATCCGCTGCTGCTTTAGACAATTCGGCCAGCCAAAGTGTCTTCTCGGCTGTAGTGCCAGCACTGACAGTGATTGCGCATTGACCGCCAAATATCGAAAAAGTATTATGTTCCGCGTTTTCAGTTAGCAATGAGCGGACCGGTACATGTCCCAAAATACGAAATGATTGATCAATTGGTGATTTTGAACCGTATAATAAAATGTCAGAAAATAAGAAGAACATGCGTTGTTGGAGACCACGTTTGGAATGTTTAAGCAGGCAACCTTGACGAACCAAATGTCGCTGAGTGATTATTAATTTATCGAAACCGCTAATGTCGCGCTGCAATTCGCAAAGTTGTACAAAATTTATAGAATCAGGTAATTGATCACGTATCTGTTTCGTAGTACGTATCAATAAGTGATAAACAGCCTGACAATCGGAATAATCTAAATGCTCTTCAGTATAGTAGTCGCAAATTCTCTCCAATAGTAATTGATAGTGCAGCATACGATATAAAGGCTTCAATACCAATTCGCCTAAAGGCAGATAACAAATTTTTTGTTGCTCGAAATCTTTATATATTTGTTGAAAACGATTATCGGTCTCGAACATTTCATTAAGACACTGCAATATTTCGCCATGAGCTTGAACATATTCGTCATATATTGGTAAGGCGGCCATATTCTTAAGCATAACATCACCTAAACGATGCGTTTCATGAGTACCGCGACCTTCCCACAATACCATACGATGTTCCAAATCTCTAAGGAAAATATTATGATGTTGAGTCATGGAATCGAGCATTTCAAATAAAGGTTGAAGATTCTCTATATCTTCCGATGATAATTCCTGACGGAAATTGCGATTTAAAATTTCCAAATCTTTTTTATAAGTGCGTTCGGTCATTAATAATTCTTTGGCTAGAAAATATGATTTCTCAGTGGGCCATTTCTAAAAAAAGATAAAGAAAAACAAACAAGTTTTGAAAGC